ACTGGGATTACAGACGTGAGCCACTGTGCCTGGCCCCAAATGAATGTTTTCTAATGTGTATTTAATTTCTTTAATGATTTTTTTCACTATATTTTTGGGTTATTTCTTTAGCAGTTACTCTAGGGCTTAACACACATATATATATCTTATCAGAAATAGGTTCTGATTTATATTAGCTTAATTCAAGTGAGATACAGAAGTGTTACTCTTTTTTTTTTTTTTTTTTTTTTTTTTTTTTGAGACGGAGTTTCGCTCTTGTTACCCAGGCTGGAGTGCAATGGCGCGATCTCGGCTCACTGCAACCTCCGCCTCCTGGGTTCAGGCAATTCTCCTGCCTCAGCCTCCTGAGTAGCTGGGATTACAGGCACGTACCACCATGCCCAGCTAATTTTTTGTATTTTTAGTAGAGATGGGGTTTCACCATGTTGACCAGGATGGTCTCGATCTCTCGACCTCGTGATCCACCCGTCTCGGCCTCCCAAAGTGCTGGGATTACAAGCTTGAGCCACCGCGCCCGGCCAGAAGTGTTACTCTTATATAACTATTTCCTTTCATCTTCTCTTACAGTAATATTGGTTGTCACATTACATCTACAGATGTTTCAAACTCAACCAATTGTTATAATGTTAAATAAATCTTTTTTTTTTAACTACAAGAAGAAAGGAGAATCTTTATACATTTATAACTTCTATTTTATCAATCTGATTAATCACTTTTGGTTCTCATTTGGTCCAGATGAATTTGAGTTACCATCTGGATTCATTTCCTTAGCCCAATACAACTTTGCTCTCCCCTGCCTTCTTTGTGTTGTTATTAGCAAATATATTAGATTTCTGTATGTTATGGGTCCAATAATACATAATGTACATATTGTTTCATAAAATTTGTGTATCAGTTAAGAGGAGAAGAGATATGTATGTATACTGCCTTTTATAATTACATAATTGCCTTGCTTCTCTTTATTTTGCATATGGATTTGTATTACTGCCTAATATCACCTGTTTTCAGCCTCAAGAGCTTCCTTGAGTACTTTTTAAGGTCAGTCAGCTAGCAATAAATTCTCTCAGTTTTTATCTGGAAATGTCTTTTTATTTTAAGTTTTGAAATGTAGGTTTGCTAGATAAGGATAACCACTCCCCTCTGTTTTACTGATACATAATTGACAGATACATAAGTGTATACACACACATACAAATACACTTTATCTGTCCACCCATTGATGGACACTTAGGTTTCCGTATCTCGGTTATTGTGAATAATGCTGTCATAAACAAGGGCTGCAAATATCTCTTCAAGTTACTGACTTCGGCCAGGCATGATAGCTCATGCCTGTAATCCCAGCACTTTGAGAGGCTGGGGTGGGTGGATGAAGAGGTCAGGAGTTCGAGAGCAGCCTGGTCAACATGTTGAAACCTCATCTCTATGAAAAATAAAAAAGTTAGCCAGGCATGGGGGCACAGGCCTGTAATCCCAGCTACTTGGGAGCCTGAGACAGGAGAATTGCTCGAACCTTGGAGGTGGAGGTTGCGGTGGGCCGAGATTGCACCACTGCACTCCAGCCTGGGCAAAAGAGCAAGACTTCATGGTGGGGGCAGGGGACAGGGGATGACTGACTTCATTTCTTTTGGCCATATACCCAGAAGCAGGATTGCTGGATTGTATGGTTGTCCTATTTTTAAGTTTGTGAGGAACCTCCATACTCTTTTTCAGAAGGACTATACCAATTTATATCCCCAACAGTATACAAGGCTTCCCTCTTTTCCATATCCTTGTCAATATTTTTTTCTTTGTCTTTTTGATAACAGCAGCCCTATCAGATATGAGGTAATGTTTCATTGTGGTTTTGATTTGCATTTCCCTGATGTTTAGTGATATCGAGCACCTTTCTGTGTATCTGTTGACCATTTGTATATCTTCTTTGGAAAAATGTCTATCATGTTTTTTGCTAATTTTTAAATTTTTTTTTTTGCTACTGAGTTGAATGAATTTCTTATAAATTCAGATATTAACCCCTTGTCAGATACATAATTTGCACATATTTTCTCCCACTCTGTAGAATGTCATTTCACTTTTTATATTGTTTCCTTTGTTTTATAGAAGCTTTTTAATTTGATTTGGTCCCACTTCGTTTTTGCTGTTTCCGGTGCTTTTGGTGTCATATTTTTAAAAATCATCATGCAAGACCAATGTCAGGAGCTCCAACTATGTCTTCCTCTAGGAATTTTATATTTTCAGGCCTTATATTTAAGTCTTTAATCCATTTCCAGTTGTTTTTTCTAAATGGTGTGAGGTAGGGGGATCACTTCAATTTTTTTGCATGTTGATGGATTTAGGATTCTGGGTTGAAGGTTTCTGTATGAGTACTTTGTATATATCATCCTACTGCCTTCTGGACTTCATGTTTTTCTGATGAGAATACAGCAGTTAATACTTTTGTATTAATTTCACTTTTAACCTGCAGTTTCCTTTTACTTCATTCAAAATTTTCTCCATTTCTTTCTTTGGTTTTCAGTGCTTTTATCATGATGTACCTATATTTGGGTCTCAGGCATTTATCCTGCTTGGTGTTTGTTGAGCTTCCTGGATATGCAGTTTAATGTTTTTCAATAAATTTTGGAATTTTAAATCCATTATGTCTTTATAATTTTTTTTTTTTTTTTTGAGACGGAGCTTCGCTCTTGTTACCCAGGCTGGAGTGCAATGGCGCCATCTCGGCTCACTGCAACCTCCGCCTCCTGGGTTCAGGCAATTCTCCTGCCTCAGCCTCCTGAGTAGCTAGGATTACAGGCACGTGCCACCATGCCCAGCTAATTTTCTGTATTTTTAGTAGAGATGGGGTTTCACCATGTTGACGAGGATGATCTCGATCTCTTGAGCTCGTGATCAACCCGCCTCAGCGTCCCAAAGTGTTGGGATTACAGGCTTGAGCCACCACGCCCGGCCGTCTTTGTAAATTTTAAATACTTTTTTTCTGTCTCACCTCTCTTTTGGTACTCCTGTTTATATCAGTGTGCTTAATGTGGTCTCACATTCCTCTGGGATGTTAATTTGTCATGTTTTCTCTCTGTTCATCAGACTACACCATTACTATTAATCTGTCTTCAGCTTTGCTAATATTTCTGCCAGTTCATATCTACTATTGAGTCCTTCTAGTGAAAATTTCATTTGTTATTACACCTTGTAACTTCAGAATTTACAGGTTTATTTTTAATAATTTGTATCTTTATTGATATTCTCCTTTTGATGCCACATTATGATCATACCTACATTTTAACTATGGTTTCCTTTGTCTACTTGAACATATATTATAATGGCTACTTTGAAGTCTGCCTGTTAAATCTGGTTGCTCTCACAAGCAGTTTTTGTTGTGGGTTTTTTTTTTCCAGTGTATGAATCATACTTTCCTATTTCCTTGCCTGTCTCTTATTTGTATAAAGTGGACATTATAGACAATTGTTGGAACTCCAGTATTCTTGTCCACACCCTCTGGCTCAGAGCTTGTTATTGGTACTTGCTCATTTACTTCCTTAGTGACTGTGATATGGTTTTGTTCTGTGTCTCCACCCAAAACTCACCTTGAATTGTAATAATCCCCACATATCAAGGGCAGGCCCAAGTGGAGATAACTGAATCATGGGGGCAATGTACCCCATACTGTTCTTGTAATAATGAGTTCTCACAAGATCTAGTAGTTTTATAAGGGGCTTTCCCCTTCACTCTCATTCTCTCTCCTAACACCCTGTGAAGAGGTGCCTTCTGCCATGATTCTAAGTTTTCTGAGCACCCCCCAACCCAGCCATGCAGAACTGTGAGTCAATTAAACCTCTTCCCTTTATAAATTACCTAGTCTTGGGTATATCCCTATAGCACCATGAGAATGGACTCTGGATTATTTTAGTGAAGTCTATTCCCACCATGGTGTAAAATCTCTTGATGTTGCTCATTTGGGGGTATAGCCTTGGCTATTTTTACAGACACCATTAGATGACAGTGGTTTTGACAGGGCTGTCTTTGAGCATCTCCCTGGCCAACCCTGGCTGTTAAGCACCAACTAATTGCAACTTATGGCAGTATTGCTTTCATAAGTGTCCTGGAGTATAGATTGCTTCACAGGCTAATGTAATCATACCGGGGCTTTCTTGAGGTCAGTGTTTCAGATATGTTCTCACAATAGAATGTCTCTTTCCAGGTGTCTCTTTCTCTGTTTCTGTCTGCAGACTAGCAACCCTACAGTATAACATAGATCTCTAATCTGTCAACGTCCTCCCAATTGCCCTTCACCAAACTTTACAGTTTTTGACATTGCCCTTTTGACATTTGCACATTCTCTTGCAAATCAATTCAATTCCTTTGAGGAGGAATACAGACCTCTGTGTTCTATTGCCCACTTCTCATGCTGGACAAAATCTCAGAGCCACCGTTCTAGTGCTGGAGGCAGGGACAATGACATGTATCTTGCTGAGTGATTCCCCTGCTTTAGGAGCTGAGTGCTTGGTAGATGGCAGGTGGGGGCAGCAGCCAGGTCTTCCTGGCTTGCCTCTTTTGGCATGGAACTCCTGCCCCCAGAGCAAGGGCACAGCAATTGGAACCTCAGTATGCTCAGCAGTACCACATCCAAGTTAAAGCCTACATTTCATGTTCTGGGGCTAGACAGAGGAAAGGAGTCATCATTCTTCAGCTGTGCAACAGATAGCTGGTACAGAGTGAAAAATGATGATGTCCTACCCCACCTAGGAAGATAGCTATCCAACTGGGGGAAGGATTAAGAAGTGGTGAAGAAACCCAGTGCCCTTGGCTATCCTGTCTGCAGTGGAGTCTTTTTCACTGAGATGGAATGGACGGACAATAGAGGGCCAAGGTTTGGTTTACGTAGTCTAGACTCTCAGAATTCTAACATGCTTTTGGAGATTTTCTTAATGTTTCTTCATTTGCTGCATATTTCTAGCACCATTTCCAGAGACTTTAAATGGTGATTCTTTTTAAAAAAATAATTTTTACAGTTTCATTGGAGATCATGTCCATGGAGCTCCTCATGTTGTCATGCCAGAAGTGAAGCTCCCTGACCAGTTCTTTACAGTTCTAACCATGGACCATGTAAGTTACTATTTCTCTTTTCTTTGTGGTATTTCCTTTTTCCCAATTCTTCCTACCAGACACCTCTATCACACAACCTACACTACAACCCCATACTTTTTCGCTTTCTAGTAAGGGCTGGATTCTAACAGCACAGCGTCCCTCCTGTGTGCCTCTCTATTCTCCAAATAATGTCCAACACTCATATGTGTTCAGTCCTTTCTCAAGGGCAGATATAGAAATGGAATCCCTAGACTTTTCCTTGTCGTATTCTTGGATAGGGAAGAAGAGCAGTTCACTCTATTCGATGATAATTGGGCATACTCTGACCTCTACACAGACTTGAGTTTCCAGAAAGATTGGATTTTATGTTGAATGGCGTCAGGTCATACAAAATGATGATTGTAGACACAGAATTGAAAAAGACCTTTCTAACCTAAAAGTTGGAGTATAATTAAGGCTATTATTTAATTTATTTATTTACTTATTTTTTTGAGACGGAGTTTCACTCCTGTTACCCAGGTGGGAGTGCAATGGCACAATCTTGGCTCACCGCAACCTCCGCCTCCTGGGTTCAGGCAATTCTGCTGCCTCAGCCTCCTGAGTAGCTGGGATTACAGACACGCGCCACCATGCCCAGCTAATGTTTTGTATTTTTAGTCGAGATGGGGTTTCACCATATTGACCAGGATGGTCTCCATCCAGGATGGTCTCGATCTCTTGACCTCGTGATCCACCCGCCTCGGCCTCCCAAAGTGCTGGGATTACAGGCTTGAGCCACCGCGCCTGGCTCGGCTATTATATTTTTAACAAAAAACTACCCTGTAGCCACTAAAAATACTACAAACTTTGTTGCTAGAAGTAATAATTCTTATTATATAATGTGAAATAATATGTCAAGTAGTAATGAACTTGGGTCTACAATAAATCTTTAATTTTGTTCATACCTCATTTTCTTTTTTTTTTTTTTCCTTTTATTTTTTTTTTGAGACGGAGTTTTGCTCTTGTTACCCAGGCTGGAGTGCAATGGCGCTATCTCGGCTCACCACAACCTCCGCCTCCTGGGTTCAGGCACTTCTCCTGCCTCAGCCTCCCGAGTAGCTGGGATTACAGGCACGCGCCACCATGCCCAGCTAATTTTTTATATTTTTAGTAGAGACGGGGTTTCACCATATTGACCAGGATGGTCTCGATCTCTTGACCTCGTGATCCACCTGCCTTGGCCTCCCAAAGTGCTGGGATTATAGGCGTGAGCCACCGCACCCGGCCATACCTCATTTTCAAAGTTAGAAGTTAGATATTTTTCTCCTATACAGGGGAATGGGGGTATAGAAACTTACCTTTATTGATAATTCATGAGGGAGGCACATAGCATGAAATGTACTTGTATACAGTACTTCTTTTAATTTGTAAACTGATTAATTTGTAAACATGGTTGGCTAAATAAGAGATCCCATAAGTATGCAGAAAGATTTCTGTGAATCAAAGGGAGTCTTTAAAGATGCCCATAGTCTGGTTTGGAATCACTAATTTCCTTACTTCCCATGTCACAGGCTTTCTGTTCCTGGTCTCCTTGTTTACTATCCAATCCCCTTGCTATAAGGCAATTCCTTTTTTCTTGTCTTTTTCTCAAAAATATTCCCTTATATTTTACCTGTAATGTACGGGTTTGTTTCAGGAATTGGTGACATTCAGGGATGTGCTTATCAACTTCTCTCAGGAGGAATGGGAATATTTAGATTCTGCTCAGAGGAACTTGTACTGGGATGTGATGATGGAGAACTACAGCAACTTACTCTCACTGGGTAAATTTATCTGCCTCAAATAAGTTAGAATATACTGTCTAGACTATCAGCTGATATTCAGTGTACTCAAGGCTATGTTTTAAGAAACTAGTTGAACTTCTGATTTCAAAGGCATGCTTTCAGTGTTGTTGTGCTGCAAATGACATTTCCATTAATCTTCAGCATTCTTCATGATATTCTTACCTTCTCAGGCCCTTCATGTAATCTCTACCTTCTTTGATACCAAGGAGCTGGATTTGACCTAAGGGACACATATCACTGAGACATTACAGGTTGAGTATCCCTTATCCAAAATACTTGGGACGAAACTATTTTGGATTTGGGATTTTTTTCAGATTTTGGAATATCTGCATATACATAATGAGACATCTTAGGGATTGGACCCAAGTTGAAACACAAAATTCATTTATGTTTCATATACCCTTTATACACATGGCCTGAAGATAATTTTATACAATGTTTTTAATAGTTTTATGCTTGAAACAAAGTTTGTGTTAAGTAGTTATGTGTATTTAACTATTAGCATCATGTCATTGCTCAAAACTTTTGGATTTTGTAGCAGTTCAGATTTTAGATTAGGGATGTAAAACCTGTACATTGTGTTTGAGGTCAAAATTGCTATAAATACTTTATATTCTTACCCACTGTCTGGGAGAATTTTTAAGATACTGTGTGTCCTGATTTGTTAGGATTGTTAAAAGAATCTGAGCCGGGCATGATGGCTCATGCCTGTAATACCAGCAGCACCTTGGGAGGCCGAGGCAGGCAGATCACAAGGTCAAGAGGTCAAGGCCAGGCAGGGCGCAGTGGCTCACGCCTGTAATCCCAGCACTTTGGGAGGCCAAGGCAGGCGGATCATGAGATCAAGAGATGGAGACCATCCTGGCCAACATCGTGAAACCCCGTCTCTACTAAAAAATAGAAAAATTAGCTGGGCATGGTGGCGCACAAGCCTGTAGTCCCAGCTACTCGGGAGGCTGAGGCAGAAGAATTGCTTGAATTCGGGAGGCGGAGGTTGCAATGAACTGAGCTCACACCACTGCACTCCAGCCTGGCGCCTGGCAACAGAGCAACACTCTGTCTCAAAAAAGAAAAAAGAAAAAAAAAAAAAAAGAGTTCGAGACCAGCCTGACCAACATGGTGAAACCCCATCTCTACTAAAAATACAAAAGTTAGTCAGGCTTGGTGGCAGGTGCTTATAAACCAAGCTACTAGGGACACTGAGGCAGGAGAATCGCTTTAACCCGGGAGGCAGAGGTTGCAGTGAACCAAGATCACGCCATTGCACTCCAGCCTGGGTGACAGAGTAAGACTCTGTCTCAAAAAAAACAAAAACAAAAACAAAAAACTCTACAATTTATATATTGATGGACTGATAAACAGTTCACATTCATTTCCTCCCACCTGCTTTATGGCTAAAGAACTTTGCATTTAATATTAGTATTCCACCAAGGACCTTTTAATAGCTCAGAAAGTTACTTTCCTCTCAGTTGCCATAGTTCTTGCCTTCTACTTGGCCCTGTCCTAAGCACTTTAAATAACTAACTCGTGGCTAGGCACAGTGGCTCATGCCTTTAATAGCAGCAATTTAGGAGGCCGAAGCGGGTGGACTGTCTGAGCTCAGGAGTTCATGACCAGCATGGACAATATGGTGAAACCTCGTTTCTACTAAAACACAAAACATTAGCAGGTGTGGCGGTGTGTGCCTGTAGTCCAAGCTACTTTGGAGGCTGAGGCAGAAGAATTGCTGGAACCTGGGAGGCGGAAATGCAGTGAGCCAATATGCCACTGCACTCTAGCCTAGGCAACAGAGTGAGACTCCATCTCAAAAAAAAAAAAAATTGACTCGTTTAATTCTTACAATAACTCAATGATATAAGTGCTATTTGTATTATTGTTGTACAGAACAGATTGCTTACAACAGAGCGTATGTAGGTACTTCTGCAAGACCACACAGCCACTTAGATACAGAGGTAGGTTTTCTACTCAGGCAATCTGGCACCAAAGACAGTATTTTTAACTTTTATACTGCTTCTCCAGACAAAGAATTAGTATGAGTTTAAATAACATAAGACCTTTCTTTACCTGTCTAGTCTCTTTATACTTGATAATTATGTGGTTACTCTTAAGGTGAATGTTTTTCCAATTCCCTCACATTTCCCTTTTCTTTATCATTATAATTTCATCAATATAATTTCTCTATCATTTCTTTATCAATATAATTTTGATTTCTTATTAAAACTTTAACCAGTTCTCAAAACTATATTTTAAAAATTGGTTATAATTTTAAAAAATACATCGTTACATTTGTTGTAAGCAGAGTGTTCGATTTCTAATCCAAATGGGATCACCTTATTGTGGAAGGGAAGTTGCTCTATAGAGTTTATAGGATGTGAAAGAAGACAGAGCCAGGTGAGTGACGGCCAGTGAGGGACAGAAAGTCGTTGCCAAAGCACAAAGCCCATCTGGTCCAGGGGGAGATAAGCCCCTGTGGCGCTGTTGGGAAAACCCCTTCGAAAGCCTGTGGTTAAAAAAAAAAAAAAAGCCTGGCACTTGGAGAAGAAAATTAAGATCTTCTCCAATGCCACCAACTGTTTTCCAGTTCCTCTTGCATTTAGACTTACATATGTATATACTGACCAAAAAAAAAAAATACTCATTCATATCCTCAGTATTTATTCAGTGTCTACACTGTAGAGACAGTTATCATTACAAGGGTGAACAAAACCAATACAGATCCTGCTCTCATGGAAGTGACATACTAGTTATTGAGATGTATAATAAACAAGTAAACAAGTTGATTATATATATATAGTGATATGTGTGAGAATAAAGGGATAGAGGACAATGGGAAAGAGTTAATTCAGATAGTATGGTCAGAAATGAATCTCTTTGGTCTTAGATATATGGTTCATTTTCAATGATTCAACTAATGTTTTTTCAATTGGAAGTCCTCAGCGGAATCGATGTGTTTCATTTCATCATTCTTGTTGTATTAGTTGCTATCATGTTCTGTGGTAGACTTGTATAATTCTAATGGGAAAAGCAAACAGCCTGTTTTTTTTTTATTATTATTAAGTCTTTTATATTACTGTATCTAAGTAGCCACCACAAATGGTGCACTAGAAATTTTCTTACCTTCCATTAAGTCTCATTATGTTTATAGATTTTATTGGTTCAGGATACATTAGCTCACCAGAGTCTAATTTTTATGCCAGCTGTATGAATATTAGATGAAATTTTGATATACTGATACCATGTTTTCATATGGTGATTTCTGTGCACTTTGGCTTTATCCTTTAACCTTTGAATTTATTCTCACTTTTTGTCAAAAGCTTTTCCAAGGCCCATTCTATAACCCCCCTATCCCAGACCTGGCACTGAAATGGATATGAGTGCATTTTTCTGGTTTTGTTTAGTTTAGCATGTTTCAGTACATAAACTTTTTTCCCCTCATTTGACTCTTGTATTGTCAAAATGGTGGCTTCCTTTAGCTCCCTCAAGCTATTTTTATGTCCCTTTGATGTGACCCACTATTGCAAAACTTTTTTCTTTGAGACATAATATTACAGGGTACATCTCATACTTTCCCTGCTCCAGATCATCATTCAGGCCTTTGTTCTAGGATTCCTAATTTATTATCTGGTTTACTTCAACAACAAGAACAATAAGGCATGGTTATGATTCTTCTGTTTCCTGGAGTTTGAAAATTTTATCTCATTCCAGGAATTTAGTTTTTTCCAACTATTGTTGCTTTTGGGGTTGGTTTTAAATATCTCTTTACCAAGAAATTAATTCATTAGTCTACATTTTAATCTTTATTAGCATAGGAGTCCTACAACATTTTTTATGTGTTTTCATCGCATTGTAATTGTTTGATAATTTCTCACTTTTTCTTTGGGTCACTGTTCTTTTATATACATTGGTTATTTTTACCTTTTTTTTTAAAATAAGCATTTAAATCTTTACTTTTTCTGAGACAAATATATTTGCATTCCATAGATGTCAGTTAGAAATGTTTTCAACATCATGGTTCTCTACAGATTTTGTGATTTCAATTACATTTCCACATTGACTCAACAGTTTAGTAGAGAGCTTCTTTTTTTTTGAGACAGAGTCTCACTCTGTTGCCTAGCCTGGAGTGCAGTGCTGCACTGCAATCTCAGCTCACTGCAACCTCTATCTCCTGGGTTTGAGTGATTCTCCTGCCTCAGCCTCCCAAGTACCTGGCATTACAGGTATGCGCAACTATGCCCAGCTAATTTTTTTTTTTTTTTTGTATTTTTAGTAGAGATGGGGTTTTGTCATGTTGGCCAGGCTGTGCTGGAACTCCTGACCTTAAGTGATCCACCTGCCTCAGTCTCCCAAAGTGCTGGGATTACAGGTGTGAGCCACTGTACCTGGCCTAGCAGAGAGCTTCTTTACTTCTAGCTGAAAGTACTTCTGACTTATTGATACTGTCACTCAAATCTGGTTTTAATGTTTTAGGCAGATATTGATGCCTGCATTATTTAATCTTTCTTATATATAATTCAGTCACAGGAAGTAACTCTTGCCTCTTACCATACAGAGTTTATCTCTCACTGAGTTTTCCCCAGGCATTCCCTTCTCTCATTGTCGGCCTCCAGATGATATCCATAAAATCCTTCATTAGGCCAGGCACGGTGGCTCAAGCCTGTAATCCTAGCACTTTGGGAGGCCGAGGCGGGTGGATCACAAGGTCAAGAGATCGAGACCATCCTGCTCAACATGGTGAAACTCCGTTTCTACTAAAAATACTAAAACTTTGCTGGGCATGGTCGTGCATGCCTGTAATTCCAGCTACTCAGGAGGCTGAGGCAGGAGAATTGCTTGAACCCAGGAGGCGGAGGTTGCAGTGAGCCGTCGCGCCATTGCACTCCAGCCTGGGTAACAAGAGTGAAACTCCGTCTCAAAAAAAAAAAAAAAATCCTTCGTTACAAAGTGCCTTACAATCTTATCTACCTAGACCACCTTCTTCATATGATTCTGTTAGCATATTTTCCTTTTTACTCATAAGCCCTTGCTCAGAACTGTGTAAGTCTAACAGTGGTTATAATTATATTCAGATATAATTCTAATATATGAAATATTATAATATTTTTGGGAAGCACCAGCATTAGTTGACTTTGGGTATAAGAAAATGGAAAGGAATATCTGGAAGAACATAAAAGAATAAATGGAAGTTTTAGGAGGACAGCAGAGTAAGTATAAATACGCTATTGAATAGAAGTAAATAACACATTTCATCTTGATTGTATTTCTTCATCCCATATGTCAATCATGGCTCTGCATAGAAGGGAATAAGCAATAGTGGTAGAGACAATATATATAAGTGGAGAAGCAGTTGGAAAATACAGATGAATGCTCACCATATTTATGTATCTTACTGTATTATGAATATATATGTAGTCATCACTAATACAATGTGAGGGTTAGGAGGCACTGATAACTGGCATTATTCTTTTAGTTACGTAATTATTTTGATGCTGTTTTCCAGTGACTTAGCTTTGTATATATACCTCTATTTTTATTTAGATTCATTTATACAGTAATTTACTTTTCATCTAGTTAACTATCATATATTGTGTCCTTACGGCTTATTATACATTGGCACATGAAAATTTATTTCATTTCTCCTTGTGGAATTTAAGGAAGAAGGAAATAAATCATTTAAGAGAATATACAACTGAAAAAAATATCTATGAGGGTAAGGCACTAGATACAGGATTAGAAACAGAAATGAAGTTACTTGGGTCAACTAATATGCCCCTTCTGAGGGTGGTTATCTTGAGACTTAACAAAGAAAATAAGCTGGCATACAAAGACACTATTTATAAGAAATGAAATGTTCTGTGGGTAGCTCTAAATGACAGGAAGTTTGTTTGATCTAGGAGGTGAAAAATGTTGAGAAGAATGGGTTCTAATGAGGTTTTCGGTGTTTTTATTTTTTTCTGAGATGGACTCTTGCTCTTTAGCCCAGGCTAGAGTACAGTGGTGTGATCTCGCCTCCCTGCAACCTCCACCTCCTGGGTTCAAGCAATTCTTGTGCCTCAGCCCCCCAAGTAGCTGGGATTACAGGTCCATGCCATTATGCCTGGTTAACTGTTTGTATTTTAGTAGAGGCAGGGTTTCACTGTGCTGCCCAGGCTGGTCTCAAACTCCTGAGCTCAGATAACTCACCCACTGTGGCTTCCCAAAGTACTAGGATTACAGGTGTGAACCAACACACTCAACCAAAGTGAGGTCTAACAAATTGCACGTTATTATCCTTGGTAAAGTTTATTTTGGGGGAAGAAAATGACAGTAGTGTTAGTATATGTGGATTATCAAATTTTGATCTACATTAGCATTATCTCTACACATGCTAATGACTAGTTCTACATTTGCAGATTTTCGTTCCATTTAACCAACAACTTTACCAGGTGATGACCAACACACAAATTTCAAATCTACTAACTTAATCTGTTACCCTTATCACAAATCTCATAATCTCTATGTTCTGTTGTTCTTCTCAAGCTGTCTTTGTCTTTCTCCAAATTTTATAACAGTATTTTTTGTTTGTTTGTTTTTGAGACGGAGTTTCGCTCTTGTTACCCAGGCTGGAGTGCAATGGCGCGATCTCGGCTCACCGCAACCTCCTGCCTCAGCCTCCTGAGTAGCTGGGATTACAGTCACGTGCCACCATGCCCAGCTAATTTTTTATATTTTTAGTAGAGACGGGGTTTCATCATGTTGACCAGGATGGTCTCGATCTCTTGACCTCATGATCCACCCGCCTCAGCCTCCCAAAGTGCTGGGATTACAGGCTTGAGCCACCGCGCCCGGCTTTATAACAGTATTTTAACCAATTCATGTATATGGTGAATTATTCTTAGATTGTTTCTTCTTTCTATAACTTTTTTATTTTAATAGTAAATGAACATTATTTTTTCCTTTCTTTCAGATTTGGAGTCCAAGTATGAGACAAAGCTTTTATCTATAGGAACAGACATGATTAAAAACACTGGTTCTCAGTGGGAGGTAATGGAAAGTAGTAAGTTATGTGGCCTTGAAAATTCCATTTTCAGAAATGACTGGCAAAGCAAAAGCAAGATTGAAGTACAGGGACCTAAAGGGGGATATTTTAGTCAAATGAAAACCATCTCTCAAAATGTGCCCAGTTACAAAACTCATGAATCTTTTACATTACCTCAGAGAACTCATGACAGTGAGAAGCCCTATGAATATAAGGAATATGAGAACGTCTTCAGTTTTGATGCAAAGTTTGATGAACATCAGAAAAAACATACTGGTGGAAAAAACTATGAATGTAATGAATGTTGGAAAGCCTTTGGGATAGATAACTCCAATATGCTACAAGTGAATATTCATACTGGTGTGAAACCTTGTAAATACATCAAATATGGGGATACATTTTGTTTTTATAAAGACCTTAATATACACCAGAAAATTCATAATGAGAAGTTCTATAAATGTATGCAATACAGAAGGACCTTTGGAAGAGTTGGAGATGTTACTCCACTTAAAGGAATTCATGATGGTGAGAAACACTTTGAATGCTCGTTCTGTGGGAAATCCTTTAGAGTGAATGCACAACTTACTCGACATCAGAAAATCCATACTGATGAGAAATCTTACAAATGTCTGGAATGTGGCAAGGACTTCAGATTTCATTCACAACTTACTGAACATCAGAGAATTCATACTGGTGAGAAGCCCTACAAATGTATGCACTGTGAGAAGGTTTTTAGAATTAGTTCACAGCTCATTGAACATCAAAGAATTCACACTGGTGAGAAACCTTATGCATGTAAGGAATGTGGGAAGGCTTTTGGAGTTTGTAGAGAACTTGCTCGTCATCAGAGAATTCACACTGGTAAGAAACCTTATGAATGCAAAGCATGTGGAAAGGTCTTTAGAAATAGTTCATCCCTGACTAGACATCAGAGGATTCACACTGGTGAAAAACCCTATAAATGTAATGAATGTGATAAAGCATTTGGAGTAGGTAGTGAACTTACTCGACATCAGAGAATTCACAGTGGTCAAAAACCTTATGAATGTAAGGAGTGTGGAAAGTTCTTTAGACTTACGTCAGCCCTTATTCAACATCAAAGAATTCATAGTGGTGAGAAACCTTATGAATGTAAGGTATGTGCGAAGGCCTTTAGACATAGTTCAGCCCTTACAGAACATCAGAGAATTCATACTGGAGAGAAACCCTATGAATGCAAGGCATGTGGGAAGGCCTTTAGACATAGTTCATCCTTTACCAAACATCAGCGCATTCATACTGCTGATAAACCCTATGAATGTAAGGAATGTGGGAATTCCTTTAGTGTGGTTGGACATCTTACTTGCCATCCGAAAATTTATACTGGTGAGAAATCATTTGACTGAAATGAATGTATAAAGTGTTTTTTAATTTCTGATTTTCACAGGAAAAAACTATGGATAGATTTAATAGGTAATCAAGGCAATTCATTATCTCCTTCTTTTAAAGTCTATTTTAGACTTTGTGGCCATTCTGTATGTAGAAGTAGAATTGCTTAGTCATAGCTGATATATACTTATAGCTTTGTTAGATATTGCCAAATATTTCTCTTTTATATTAAAAAGTTTTTTTTCAGGGGTTTCTCATGCAGGCATGTTTTGTTTACAATACCTTTTGGTGTTTATATTTTTGCTCTTTTGTCTTTTTAGTTTTGTAATTGTAGTATTTCTTCAATATCTTTTTTAGATTGTAATTATTTGCTTGTGACATCTATACTTATTTATTTTCCTCCAGAAAGTCAGAACTCCCAGTCAGATACAACATATTTTTACACTCTTATAGCTCTTCATTTTGTGTAATGTGCTTTTTTTTTTTCTTTGATAAAAATGTGATCTTTCCATTTTCATCAAATGGTTGCCCTCTCTTTAAATTTCTACTTTATTTTGATATAACATATTCCTCTTTTAAAAAAACCACACATACGGCCAGGCATGGTGGCTCAAACCTGTAATCCCAGCACTTTGGGAGGCCAAGGCAGGTGGATCACAAGGTCGAGATTGAGACTCTCCTGGCCAACATGGTGAAACTCTGTGTCTACTTAAAAAAAAAAAAAAAAAGCTAGGCATGGTGGCACGTGCCTGTTATCCCAGCTACTTGGGAGACTGAGACAGGAGAATCACTTGAACCCAGGAGGCATAGATTGCAGTGAGTTGAGATCACAACACTGCACTCCAGCCTGGCAACAGAGCAAGACTCCGTCTCAGAAAAAAACAAAAATATATAATATAATAATAATTGCCAGGCGCGGTGGCTCACGCCTGTAGTCCCAGCACTTTGGGAGGCCGACGCAGGTGGATCACGAGGTCAAGAGATCGAGACCATCCTGGTCAGTATGGTGAAACCCCATCTCTACTAAAAATACAAAAATTAGCTGGGCATGGTGGCGCGTGCCTGTAATCCCAGCTACTCAGGAGGCTGAGGCAGGGAACCCAGGAGGTGGAGGTTGCGGTGAGCTGAGATCGCACCATTGCACTCCAGCCTGGGTAACAAGAGCGAAACTCTGTCTCAAAAAAAAATAGTAAAATAATATAATAATAATAATAATAATATATATGAACTGGTTATAATCCACTATAACACACACACACACAATATGTATATGTATATAGTGTGTGCATGTTGTATGCTATATATAGTTTAAGTATGTGTGTTATAGTGGAATATAACCAGTTCCTTTAAGGAGTCTTTATACTTTTTTACTTGCAGGCTGTAACAACCAAGATCCAAATGAATAGAACTTTTTAAAATATTTCATAAAATGGCCAGGCACGGTGGCTCAAGCCTGTAATGCCAGCACTTTGGGAGGCCGAGGTGGGTGGATCACGAGGTCAAGAGATCGAGATCATCCTGGTCAAAATAGTGAAACCCCGTCTCTACTAAAAATACAAAAAAATTAGCTGGGCATGGTGGTGTGTGCCTGTAATCCCAGCTACTCAGGAGGCTGAGGCAGGAGAATTGCCTGAACCCAGGAGGCAGAGGTTGCGGTGAGCCAAGATCGCGCCTTTGCAGTCCAGCCTGGGCAACAAGAGCGAAACTCCGTCTAAAAAAAAAAAAATGATAAAATTACTCACCAAATAAGTCTCTTAAAATTTATCATTCAGCTGGGCGCAGTGGCTCAAGCCTGTAATCCCAGCAATTTGGGAGGCTGAGGCGGGTGGATCACAAGGTCAAGAGATCGAGACCATCCTGGTCAACTTGGTGAAACCCCGTCTCTACTAAAAATACAAAAAATTAGCTGGGCATGGTGGTGTGTGCCTGTAATCCCAGCTACTCAGGAGGCTGAGGCAGGAGAATTGCCTGAACCCAGCAGGTGGCCGAGGTTGCGGTGAGCCGAGATCGCGCCATTGCACTCCAGCCTGGGTAACAAGAGTGAAACTCCATCTCAAAAAAAATAAAATAAAAATTTATCATTCTAGGCTGGGTGCGGTGGCTCAAGCTGTAATCCCAGCACTTTGGGAGGCCGAGGCAGGTGGATCACGAGGTCAACAGATCGAGACCATCCTGGTCAACATGGTGAAACCTCGTCTCTACTAAAAATACAAAAAATTAGCTGGGCATGGTGGCGCGTGCCTATAATCCCAGCTACTCAGGAGGCTAAGGCAGGAGAATTGCCTGAACACTCAGGAGGTGGAGGTTGTGGTGAGCTGAGATCGCACCATTGCACTCCAGCCTGGGTAACAAGAGTGAAACTCCGTCTCAAAAAATAATAATAATAATAATAATAATAATAATCACTCTAGGGCCGGGTGTGGTGGCTTATGCCTGTAATCCCAGCACTTCGGGAGGCTGAGGCGGGTGGATCACCTGAGGTTGGGAGTTCGAGACCAGCCTGGCCAACATGGTAAAACCCCGTCTCAAAAAAAAAAAACAAAACAAGAAAATATAACATTCTATTGAATTATCACTCTTAAATATGTCAAAAACCTTTAAAAGAGGAGGAAAAATGACCACTCAACTTACATTAAGAGGATTTACAATTATATATTAACATGGCTTCAATTGTGTTTTAATCCATTAACATTATTTTTCTTTTTATTCCCTCTCGGTTGCCTTAATAGGTTTGGACATTTCAGCAATCAGCAGACCTTCTTTGGTTTAACTAACCTCATTTAACTACAAAATCATCTCTCTCTTAGGACAGCTGACTTGGTTATGCAGTCAATGATATCACGAGCCACTGGTTATTAGATTTTTGTAAGAAAATTTAACTATCTTGTTCAGGTGAATTTATGTCACCATCATTCATTACATTTTAATTTTTCAACTGGTGTCTTTCCCAGAATTTATGTACTCTATAAAGGTCTGAATGATTAACAGTACTAAGACATTTTCTCATCTGATATATTGAGCTGTTTTACGTAAGTATTACTTTTTGAAGTAGTTTTAAAAGATATTTAATTGGTTGTTGCTTCATGTCCTACACAGTAAGAACAAGAGTATGTTAACCCTTTTGTTAGGATATTTGGTATTTCATATCTTTCAAATAGAGTACTAGCTCTATTTCTTTTCTTTTTTTTCTTTTTGAGACAGGCTAGAGTGTAATGACACAACCTTGGCTCATTGCAACCTTCACCTTCTGGGTTCACATGATTCTCCTGCCTAAACCTACCAAGTAGCTGGGTTTACAGGCACCTGCCACCATGCCTGGCTAATTTTGTATTTTTAGTAGAGATGGGGTTTCTCCATGTTGGTCAGGCTCGTCTAAAACTGCCCAACCTCAGTTGATCTGCCCACATCAGCCTCTCAAAGTGCTGGGATTACAGGAGTGAGCCACTGTGCCTGGCCACTAGCTTTATTTCTAACCAAACACTATTTTTGTGACAACACAGTTAATTTACTCTTGGATCCCATTCTACCTTTTTATCTTGAGTTACCATCAGTGCTAATGTTCCTCTCTTGGGTGTAGTTCTCCAGGAGAATTTGTCCTGTATTTCTTTGTGTGTGTTTTTTTCTTTCCACCTTAAACAAATTAAAACTACTAAATATCTAAGCCTTGTATATAGATATTAAAATTAAAAGCAATGAGAAAAAATATCCTTGTATTTTGGCTTTTACTTTTTCAAGTTGTTAATAAATGATAAATTCATGAATAAAATGTATCTTTATTATGGTTTCCTTATTTGCAATTACAGCTATATTTTTTATCATATTAACATTTTTCATTTAACTTTGTTATGAAGTCATGGCATTTCACACTTACTCCAAACCATAATATAATTATTGTTGGTGGTATTAACTGTTTGGTTTTTACTACTGTTTCATACTCAAAATACAAAACTTCACCATCCTTTCCATTTTTCTTTACCCCTATATTCTTTCTGACTTCTCCCTGTTGGATTTCTTTGATTATATGAGACAGTACCATAGAGCTATTCAGTTGCATACCTGCACCATTCTCCCCCTCAAAAAGGGAAGAATGATTCTGATGACATTTCAGAGATCATCAGGCCTGTCTCCTTGGTTTCAAAGTGTGGGGCCACTACTTTGATTCCAAGAGACAAGACAGCCCCTGGCCAGAGCTTGAAAAGTAGGCCACCCAGAACCTTGGGGGCAGGCAATTCTCCTGCCTCAGCCTCCTGAGTAGCTGGGATTACAGGCACGCGCCACCATGCCCAGCTAATTTTTTGTATTTTTAGTAGAGACGGGGTTTCGCCATATTAACCAGGATGGTCTCGATCTCTTGACCTCGTGATCCACCCGCCTTGGCCTCCCAAAGTGCTGGGATTACAGGCGTAAGCCACCGCACCCAGCCCAACAAGGCTTATTCTATAGCTTTAACCTCTAATGGATTTAACCTTGTTAGGTTTTAGACTTGCTTGGAATCTTCCTTCTTTTCTACTTCTCCCTTTCTGAATCAGAATGTTTATCCTGTGTCTCACCACTGTACTTTTGAAACACATAACCTGTTGGATTTCACTTGTTTATAGCTAGAGATGCATTTTCCTCAGGATGAACTATGCCTCCAAGCTACCCCATGTCTTTCTTATGTTTTGGTTTGTTTTTGGAGACATGGTGTGACTCTCATCCAGACTAGAGTGCAGTGGCATGATCATGGCTCACTGCAGCCTCAACTTTCTGGGCTCAAATGATTCTCCCACCTCAGCCTCCCAAGTAGCTGGGACTACAAGTGCATGCCACCATGCTCAGCTAATTTTCTTTTCTTCTGTTTTTTTTTTCTTCATATTTTTGTTTTGTGGAGTCAGGATTCACTGCATTGCCCAGGCTGGTCTTGAACTCCTGGGCTCTAGCAGTCCATGCACCTTGACCTCCCCAAATCCTAGGACTGCAGGCATGAGTCATCACACTGGCCTTGTATAGATGACAGTTACATGACATTCTGGACTTACAGAATTTAGCAGTGATTTCAACATCAACTCTAAAATCTATGAATCAAGACTTCAGGGATTCCCAAGATGGAATTAACGTATATTTTAAAAATGTACTTACATAAAATATACTAAGAATGGATAATCTAAATGTGAAGTGTAAAACTATAAAACTAGAAGATGGCATAGTAGAAAATCTAGGCTAGCTGACTGGGATTGGCAAATGATTCGACTCCACACCAAAAGCATGATTCATGAAATAAAAATCTGCGTTAGATGTCATTAAAAGAAGAACCGTTCACGGTGTCAAAGATAGTGTTAAGACAATGAAAACTCACAAACTGGGAGAAATTATTTGCAAACATAACTGATGAACATAAAAAAATATAAAAAGAGGCTGGGTGCGGTGACTCATGCTGGTAATCCCAGAACTTTGGGAGGCCAAGGTGGGGGAATCACAATGTCAGGAGTTTGAGACCAGCCTGGCCAATATAGTGAAACCTCATCTCTACTAAAAATACAAAAATTACCTAGGCATGGTGGCGCATGCCAGTAATCCCAGCCACTTGGATTTAGCCCCACCTGGGACCA